CCTCGAGCTGCAGAAGGCGCAGGCGCTGCAAGAAGAGTGTGGCTGCCTGCACCAATACCACCAAGAGGAGTTTGGTGAGCTGCTCGGCCAGATTCAGGGCCACAGCGCCGCGCAGGCGCAGGCCGAGGCGCACGACGCCCTCAAGTGCGACGCGACGTCGGCGCTGCGCCAGATCCGTGCAGCTCGAAGGCCATGCGGTGCAGAGAATGGTGCAGTCCGAGGAGTGGTTCCGAGTGAGGCTGGACGACTGTCGGAGGCAGCCAAGGTGAATACCGATGCCATGCACTCAGCGCAGGAGGAAATAACTGAGTACCGGCGTCAGCTGCAGGCCAGGACCACAGAGCTGGAGACGCTGAAAAGCAGGAAGGAATCACTGGAGAGGCAGCGCTCTGAGCTGGAGGACTGTCATCAGACTGACATTGCGTCCTACCAGGAAGCCATTCAGCAGCTGGATACTGAGCTCAGGAACACCAAGTGGGAGATGGCAGCCCAGCTCCGCGAGTACCAGGACCTGCTCAATGTCAAGATGGCTCTGGATATTGAGATTGCTGCCTACAGAAAATTCCTGGAAGGTGAAGAGTGTCAGATTGGTTTTGGCCGGAGTCCTTTCTCCCTTTCAGAAGGACTCCCTAAAACCCCCTCCATGTCCACTCACATAAAGGTCAAAAGTGAAGAGAAGATCAAGGTGGTAGAAAAGTCAGAGAAGGAAGCTGTGATTGTGGAGGAACAGACAGAGGAGATTCAAGTGACTAAAGAAGTAACTGAAGAAGAGGAGAAAGAAGCTAAAGAAGAAGGCAAGGAGGAGGAAGGGGAAGAAGAGGAGAAAGCAGGAGAAGAAGAAGCAAAGTCTCCCTCAGCTGAAGAGGCTACATCACCAGAGAAGGAAACCAAGTCCCAGTGAAAGAAGAAGCCAAGTCACCAGCTGAGGCCAAATCCCCTGAGAAGGCCAAGTCTCCTGTGAAGGAAGAAGCAAAGTCACCGACTGAGGCCAAGTTACCAACTGAGGCCAAGTCACCGGCTGAGGCCAAGTCCCCTGAAAAGGCCAAGTCCCCAGTGAAGGAGGAGGTGAAATCGCCAGCTGAGACCAAGTCTCCAAACAAGGCCAAGTCCCTGGCAAAAGAAGAAGCAAAATCTCCAGTGGAGGTCAAGTCCCCTGAGGAGGCCAAGTCCCTGGTAAAGGAAGAAGCGAAGTCCCCTGAGAAAGCCAAGATTCTTGACGTGAAGTCTCCAGGAGCCAAGACCCCAGTGAAGGAGGAGGCGAAATCGCCAGCTGAGGCCAAGTCTCCTGAGAAGGCCACGTCCCTGGTGAAGGAAGAAGCAAAATCTCCAGTGGAGGTCAAGTCCCCTGAGGAGGCCAAGTCCCTGGTAAAGGAAGAAGCGAAGTCCCCTGAGAAAGCCAAGATTCTTGACGTGAAGTCTCCAGGAGCCAAGACCCCAGTGAAGGAGGAGGCCAGGTCCCCTGCAGATGCCAAATCCCCAGAAAAGCCCAAAAGCCCTATCAAGGGGGAGTCCAAGACCCCAGAGAAGGCCAAATCTCCTGTAAAGGAGGATGCCAAGGCTCCTGAGAAGGAGACCCCAAAGAAGGAAGAGTTGAAGTCCCCCGTGAAAGAGGAGAAAAAGCCTCAGAAGGTTAAAGTCAAGGAGCCTCCAAAGAAAGTGGAGGAAGAGAAAGCTCCAGCTGCACCAAAAACCGAGGAGAAGGAGAGCAAGAAGGACGAGGTTCCCAAGAAGGAGACCCTCAAACCCGAGGCTGAGAAGAAAGAGCCTGAAGTAGAAAAGTCCAAAGTATCCAAAGTTGAAGCCAAGAAGGAAGAGGCTGAAGACAAGAAAAAAGCAGCAACCCCAGAGAAGGAAGCCCCTGCCAAGACGGAGGTGAAAGAGGAGGCTCCACCCAAAGAGAAGACTGAAGGGGCCAAGAGGGAATCACACAATGCCAAGGCCAAAGAACCCACCAAACCAACAGAGAAGGAGCCAGAGAAGCCAAAGAAGGAAGAGACACCGGCAGCACCAGAGAAAAAAGACACTAAGGAGGAGAAGGCCACAGAGGCCAAGAAGCCTGAGGAGAAACCCAAAACAGAGGCCAAAGCCAAAGAGGATGACAAAACCCCCTCAAAAGAGCCCAGCAAGGAGGCCCCTACACCCAGCAAACCCAAGACGGAAAAGGCTGAAAAACCTAGCACAGAACAAAAAGACAGCAAACCTCCAGAGAAGGCCACAGAAGACAAGGCCTCCAAGGAGGAGAAGTAAGGCAGAAAGGTAGGAACTTCCAGAACAGCCAAAGAAACGTAGGAGGGTCCCGGAGCTTGAGGGTCAGTGTAACAAAGTTTCTTTCTTCTTGATTTTTGTCCCTTTTTCTTTCTGAAGAAGAAGAAAATGCTTAGACTACGGGCCCTCCTTTACCAAACAGGAATTTCTGTTAGCAATATGTTAGCTAAGAGAGAACACACCCAGCCCCTTTCTCCCAGGCCCCCAACCCACACCAGGCGATGGACAAATATGTTATGATAGCTTATGTAGCCGAACGTGATATATGCCGAATGCCACAAGTAAACACTTGACTATAAAATCTGTCCCCCTTCTTTCCAAATAAGTGCATTAATTCCTGTATGTGCAACTGACAGATAATGAATGAGCAATAATGAATGAGCAGTTAGAAACACATTATGCTTGAGATGTCTTAACCTATTCCCAAATGCATTCTGTTTTCCAAAGGAGTGGTCAGGCCCTGGGCAAGCTCCCTATCCTGAATAGCTGGAGCAGGTGGGGCTGGGCTCTGGCCACTGAACCACACCAGGGCGCACTTTCCACTGGAGTCCACTTTCAGTTGCTTCTGTGCAATAAAACCAAGTGCTTATAAAATAAAAAAGAAGAAGAAGAAGAAAGAAACCAGATAAATAAAATACCTGATGAAACAGGCAATATTACAACAGACATAGTAGAAATGCAAAATATCATTAGAGGATACTATGAGCGACTATATGCCAACAAACAAGATAACTTAGAGGAGATGGGCAAATTCCTGGATGCATATAATCTACCAAGATTGAATCAGGAGGACATAGAGAACCTGAATAGACCCATAACAAGCCAGGAGATTGAATCAGTTATAAATAACCT